CGTGGTTTCCAGAATGACTCCTCCTGCTGTCTCCTTTTTGTCTTTGTTTCAACGTGTTTCTCTGAACAGTCAGAAGGTCAGTTTGAAAGATCGTGTCTTCTCCAGTCCCCGCGGTGCTGGCACCAAAGGGAAAGGCTCTCCACAGGCTCAGGGCATCCGGAGGTCCCCCAGCGCTGACCAGAGCATCGAGGACAGCCCGAGCAAAGTGCCCAAGAGCTGGAGCTTCGGAGACCGCAGCCGAGCCCGGCAAGCTTTCCGCATCAAGGGAGCGGCATCGCGGCAAAACTCCGAAGGTGAGGCCTTGGGGTGCCACGTGGGACCCCAAAGCCCCGTCCAGCCCCAACATCCTCTCCCTCCCCACCTAAGAAAGGCAGAGCTGCAAGCCAGGGTGCTTAAATAGGTCTCCCTCCCCTTCCAGTCCTTGAGCTTAGAGTATAAGAAGATAAGAGAATATCTTCTAAGAGATAAGAAAACCTCTGCTGACACCCACGATAATGTATTTATATATTAGGTATATATTTATGTATACAGGGATGGGGAAAGGAGGGCATCTCGAGATGGATGAGAGCTGCGCTTGGCATTGCTGGATGTCACCTTAACACGTTTTGGGAAATGCTGCCATCGGGATGCTCAGCAAAGATCTCTCTGGTGCTTCCCCCGGGATTGCTGTTTGTGATCCAACTTGCCTTTTCTCACGTGGCACTAGCAAGGGAAATAGTAATGTGTTATCTTTATTCCTCCCTCTCCCAAACCCAGAAGCAAGCCTCCCTGGAGAAGACATTCCCGATGAGAACAAAAGCTGCAACTGCGAGTTTGTGACAGAAGATTTGACGCCGGGACTGAAAGTCAGCATCAGGGCAGTGTGGTAAGAGAGGAAGAGGGGGGAAACAATCCAGAAAAATAAATAACAGGGAAAAAAAAAGAAATGTAAAGTCCAAGCAGAGGTGGCACATGCTGAAATGTCTGTGCTGCAGGCTGTTTTTCCCCTGGGTGGCCTGCCCTGCTTTACAGAAAATTCTGCCAGAAAGGGCAATTTTTGCTGAGAGAAGGAATAAATGGAGAAACAGGAAAATCCCCTGCAGGGATGCATCCAAATGATCGTTCTCACCAGCTTTGAGATTTAATGCTGACATTTATAAAAGCGGTGCAGGGAGGACGCTCGCACAGCTGACAGTCCAAGGGGCATCGGGGACCCCCCGTGGCAGACAGGGCTTCAGCCACGAGCCCCCGCGATCCCCATCCCCTCTCCTATTGCCGCATCCTCTCCCAAACCCACAGGGTTGGGATTTGTTCCATTTTCCTTCCAAAGAAGCTCCCTGCGGTGTTTTTTATCTGCCACGAAGCAGGTCAGGCTGCAGCCCAGGGACTATATTTTGCTTTTCCTCTCCATCTTCTCCAGCATTATGAGATTTCTCGTCTCCAAGCGCAAGTTTAAGGAGAGCCTTCGGCCCTACGACGTGATGGATGTCATCGAGCAGTATTCAGCCGGTCACCTGGACATGCTTTCCCGGATTAAAAACCTTCAGGCCAGGCAAGAGACCCCTCTTTTTGCTTTGTTTTTTCACTGTTTTTTGTTCATTGTGGGGATGTTGCCAGGAGAGAGACGCTTTTCTTTGCAGCTACAACTTACTCTTTTTCTTCCTAAGAGGAAACCTCAAAGAAAACATCGGTGCTTGTGGCTGGAGCCCAGAGGGATGAGCAGGACAGGGACTGCAAACGGTGGTGTCAGGCCACTAAAACTGCCTTAGTGCCCACCCCAGGACATACACACAAAAATCTCGGCTCATTCTCCTCCTTTACTTTGGGAGTAAATAGTCATTATAGTATATTCCATAGGTAAGGCACGGGATATATATCCTCTGTGGTCCTCCTGGCAGGATAGCAAAGGTTTGGTGCCCCAGGCTTAAGGCTAATGTGGCTAATTTGGTACCTTTCTGGGAGAGATACAAAATAAAATCCGTTGTGCTGGTTGTGGCCCTGCTGCTATGGGCAGAAGGGGCAGCGAGGAAGCAGCGGCTTCTCCAGCTCTTTTAGGAGGAATCCCTCCTCGGATGGCACAGTCTACCAAAAATATGTGCAGATGGGGGTTTCTCATCCAAGCCCAGCGACGTAGGTGTGGTTTAGCCGAGCTGCGTTTCAGCTTCTGTGCTCAAATTTTAGGGGGAGTTGAGTTAGTTTTAATAGGGGAAGAAACGTGAAAAAGGGACAAATGGAACCAAGAAGGGCATTTAAAATTTCATTTTGCGCTACGATCACCCAATTATTTCTCCTGAAAGAAAACACAGATGAATTTGGTCCCCTGAATAGAGGATCTGAGCTAAATCTTTTTGTCTGACCGCTGCTCCCTTAGTCCTGGTGTTCCACGTTGAAAACCAGACCCCAAACCCCAACACCCCCTCAGCTGTGTCGGCTCAGCAGAAGGCAGCCCCAGTTCTGCTGAGCTCAGAGGACACCCAGAACAGAGCCGGGGCTTGGCCATAGGCTAAAGTCTCCAGTCAAAATAATATACCATCTACTTTTACACTTGGAGAATGAAAGTATTTCCCTCCATGGCTATGGCAGCCCAACTTCCTCTGGAAGCCATTGGGAAAGTTTTCCTTTAATTTCAAACCCATCTAGGTCCCTGGCAGAGTCAGCAAATGTGCAAAAAAAATGTGTTTGAGTATGCAAACAGCTAATATGAACCCCAGGAATGGAATAGGAGAATTGTCTTAGGTAAAAGAGGAATCTCTCTTCTGTTAATCTCTCCGAGACCATTTTAACTCTGCTATTTTTGATGTTCAAGCAGCGGAGGTAACTTTCTCAGCGTTGCTGTGCGGCTGTGCTTTTCCCATTTCCAGATATGCAGCCAGAAGGTAAATTCTCCCTTGCGATGGAGACTAAAATATCCTGGAGAATTTCCTCTCTTTGAGCCTCTCACCCCCGTTCAGTACGAATTCAATGATTATAGATCCAAAATGTGTAGCTGAATCTGGAGAGGGAAGAGGAGGAGGAGGGGATTTATATTTCCTAACTTTAATAACCTGAAATGTGAGGCCTCCAGGCTGCCTCCGCAGTGGGTAGTGAACCATTGGGGTTGTCATCTCCACTGGCTCCGGGTGAGAGACCTGAGTTTTCAGCACCCCGAGCTGGTGTGGCAGATTGCCTCACCCTCCGTGCAAGTCTCCCATGGCCGATCCTTCAAGGTGATGTGCTGCAAAGACAGCGTGGTTTGGTTGTCTGGTTTTTGGCATGGTTGGGGTAAGGAATTGCAGCTTTCAAAGACCAAATTGAATTCTCCTGTTAGCTGTAGCCGCGGGACTGCGAGGCTGAGGTTGCTGAGGCTGGACTAGGCTGGGGCTGCCATCCACCCCATTGCAGGGAAGTCAGGAGGACTGGGAACTGCTTTAAAAGTGTGAAGTACCTGGATTTGGGAGCCAGGGCTACCAGGCAGCTTCACTCGTTTCCCTGTCCCCACCAAGCAGGAGGTCAGTGATGGTGATGGGAGCAGACCCCCTTGGGGTCATCCTTCGAAGAACTCATCATCATGGCCAGATGGGCACCAAGAGGTCCATTGGCTGGTCACCTGCCCAGTAGAGCTAGAAGGGGCACCCTGTAGATGAGTGCGCTGGGGTGGCCATGGTCAACGTTGGGGCAACTGGTGTACAGTGGACCCACATGGTGGAGCCCAGGGAGGTTGTCACAGGGCAGCTCAGAGGAGAACAGAGGTTTTTATTTCCCTTTCCTTCAGCAATCAAAGCACTGTGTTCTCCATGGCAGCTCAGCTCGGCAGGGCTGGCTGTGACCTTCCGTAGCCAGGGCTCTGGTGGATTAAAGCTGCATTCAAGCAAATTTCTGGGGTGTTTACATGCACTTTCCTCTCTAATCATTAATGCCGCTGTCACTGTGTCTGTAACGTGCTCTTTTCAGTGTTGTGTTCACACTGTCTCGTGTCTCATCCTGACACCTTGCCAACCATGGATGTCTCCCATTCATTGAGTTATTCAGTCCCGCAGCGTATCTTGCCGACTGCAACAGCTCATGCTTTTCTGAACTAGCTGAGGATGTGTTATCTAGCACTGGAACTGAAAGGGGAATGGATATATGTTTTTTCATATCCAACCACCTCAATGGGATATTGCTACACATATGCAAATATATTCCAGAGGGTAAAGCATGTTACCTATTATGTCTGGGGTGGGGGGATCTCCTAATGATGTTTCAGTGGTGCCTAAATCTCCAAATCTTACCCCGGAGTGAGTAAGACTCTGGCTTTCACCAACAACCAGGCGGTAGGAGAGAGCCTTCTGTCTGCAGCGGAATATATTTTCAAATTCTCTCTCTTTCTCTCTCTGTCGTTCTGTTTTTCAGTTGTTTCTTTCTGCAACTTTTCTGACCAACTTTTCTCTACATGTTGCTTCATTATGCATTTTGCTGGTGTCTTTTTTCTTATTTACTTTGCCAGGATAGATATGATTGTGGGTCCCCCGCCCCCTTCAACTCCCCGGCATAAGAAGTATCCAACCAAAGGACCCATGTATTCTTCCAAAGAATCTCCCCAATACTCGCCTAGGTTAGGATTCATCAAAATGCCGCTTTCTTTGGATTTTTCATTTGCTTAATGTCAAACCCCTTTCATGCCAGTTATATGACGGCATTTATCACTTAGCAGTGCAGCTTGCTAAATCATGACTCAGAAGGGCTTGCTACTCTGGGTGTGCTCTGATTTACTTTCAGTAATGAGCTTTCACATTAGGCAAGCCAAAGGAAAAAAAAAGGGACATTCATACAGTCATCAATAACCATCAGTTTCTTCAGCTAGCGTATTTTCTATTTTCAGTCTTCTTCTAGGTGTTAGAAAGCAAAATTATGTCTCTTTAAAATCTCCCATTTTATCAGGCTATCTTCAGATGTAAAAGGTGGAATATTTACCCACAAAGCCAATATAAATGATCTAGTTTCTAAAAGGTGAAACATTCCACACACAAGCGAAGGAACCTCTGCTGCTCTTTGCACTATGAAATGAGTGTACTTCAGTGGGCAAAGTAAGAATGAAGTGTTTCATACTCAGTGAACACCGTGGTCTCTTTTTCTTGCTGATGCAACTCTACCAACCACGGAGGAAAAAATTGTGTTAAAATATTACAACCACAGGACTCATAATAAAAAAAAAAGATCCTGATTTTGCAAGCGAAAAGAAGAGCAGGAGTCAAACCCAGCCCTCAGTCAAACAGCGAGATCTTTCTCATTGCCCTTATTCAGTTCTCTCCTTAGGTAAAACCATACCTGAAGCTGATGCCATGAGGAACATTTGAGGGCATTCTGAGGTCTGGACAGCAGGGCCATGAGCTGAGCTCTATTTTCATCTGGTATTGAGACCACGGGAGCCCAAGGCAGGTATAAATATTTGCCAGAAAGTCATTTCCCATGCACTAATAATAGGTGATTTTTAAATGCAGCAAGCTTAGCTTCAAATATTTTTTTTCTAAATATACCTCCCCTCCCTAAGAGCTAATACGTGACAAATCTCTTGATTTTTATTTAAGCTGCTCTGAGTAATCTTCACTCAGAGGAATGTGAGTAAAAGGAGTATTGAAAGCTTACCTTTTCCCACTCAGCTAGCTTAAAGATTAAAAAGAAAAAGAGAATTTTCCAGAAGCCCCAAGCTTTATGCTTGGAAAAAAGATGCTCTCAGAAAGCATTTTTCCCATTTCTCCTCCTCGCCAAAAGATGAGGCCCAAAATAGTCTTTAAAAATGAAATAACTTCCTTGTCTGCAGCAACGTTTTGATTTTAAAATAAAAATACATATTCAAAAGGATTTTGTTGTATTTGACCTATAAGGTTAGGTGTGCAACAAGCCTTCACTAGAGGCAAGATTTTCATGTGAAAGCTTGTGCCTTGTACACAGAAAAGGTGATCGATGGAAAGTAGGGGAGGAGGCCTCAAACTGGGATATTTATTTTATTCACTCCAAGTCTGTTGCTATATCAGCTTAATGTTAATTGACCTTTTCCCCCCCTGTTTTTACAGTTTCTAATACTGATGGCCAGATTAAAATCTGTTTGCCCATGCCCACTAGGTTCCTGGGACATTAAGACTTTTTTGTATAGTTGCTCCCTTTTTTAATGAACTGAATTTTCTCCTTTCTTCTTTATTGAGCTGTGGCTGAGAGGCTCCAGAAAGGAGCAGAGTACAGAAGGCTGCTGAAATCTCTGCTCCCACCCATTAAAAGGCTTATGCTGTGCTTAATTTTCGGCAGCTGCGTCTTCCCACGGACACCAGTGGGACTTGCGAGGTGCTCGAGGTGCCCGATGGATGGGAACCAGAGCTCTGAGCAGCCCCAAGCCCAAATCCAAAACCTCTGTGTCGGGCTCTGCTGCTGCCATGGCCTTCATCATCTCAGCACCACGTGGGTCCATGCCGTGGGGACACATGGGCTGCACCAGCATCTCCTTTTTAGCCTGCACACCCTTTTTTTAGCCAAATGCCTGGATCATAAGAAAACACCCAGTGAAGGAAGAGAAGCAAAACCTGGGGACACATGCCGTGGGGTCCCCATGGGCTGCACCAGCCTCTCCTTTTTAGCCTGCACACCCCTTTTTTAGCCAAATGCTGCCCAGATCATAAGAAAACAGACAGTGAAGGAAGAGAAACAAAACTGAGTGATGTCCCATGAGCTATCTGAACCCCGTGGATTGCATTGTGGTGCTCTTAGTGACAAGGGCTCAGTTCAGCCAAAAGTTTTCTGCAAGTAGCTCCCAGCAAAGGCGGCTGGAGACTAGTGGATGTCCATGGCTGTGGTTTGGCTGAAGGTGTTTGCTCCATGCTGTTCACACAGACAATTTGGATTAAATTCCCTTGATCAGCTAATTTAACATAGAATAGGTGCAACCTCAGCTGTAATTTTTAGACAGCAGATATTGGTCAAAATATTTCTAGAGCAAACTTTATTGCCAAATGAGGAGGTAAGTAGCCAGTCCTGTGACATGGATGAAGGGGGTTTGGCTTCAATGCCTGGATTGTGTACAAAAAATTAAAAGAGATAAAGAAAAAAAGAAAAGAATTGAATATATATTCCCAAACACTTCATTTTTATCTCATTTGAGCTGTTTGACTTTTTTGATGTCTGCTTCTGGCCCGAGGGTGACATATTACACCTCTTTGCATGCACTGTTAGCATGAAGCATAATGAAGCATGAGAAAACCTGCACTGTGGCTGATGCAAGACTTTACATTTTTTTTGTATCATTAGAAAGAAGGAAAGATATCAAAGTTCACTTTAAACAGCAACCCCCTTTTTCTCTCCCTCCCAAACTAAGACCCAGCAGAGCCTATCAAGGACAGCAGATGGCACAGTTTGTCATGCATCGTTAGAAATCTCTGAATCCTCTTCTGCCACGAAGGGAAAAATACGGGGCTGATTCTTCCAAAGCCTCAGCTGAATTCTTCCCTCCACACGTGTATTCAAGACAGCCAAGATAAGCGTTGGGAATGCACAAGGCTCCCCATGGGATGTAGTGCACAAGTGGGGTTGGCATCTCAAAAGATTCGCGGTCCCTTGTCACGCAGTAGGAACAAACACTATCCCCCTCTGCTTGCAAAGGTGGAATGTGTTCTCTCTTCTTCATCTTTTGAGCTTTGCTGCCCAATTTGGACAAAACTTCAAACTCTTTTATAATGGCTAAAAGGACCTTCTGTTCTTTGTGGTGCTCAGCTAGGCACAGGTGGATTGGGAGCACACGAGGAAATTCCTCTCTTCTCTTGTATCAGATAAGGCACAAATGAAACCTCTGCACTATGCTGAGGGTAGGAGCACTCTCCCCTGGTCTAACTTCTGCCATGGGAAGCGAAGGGGTGGGAGACCTCGAGCCTGGTTTCTCCCATCAAGAGGGAAGGACTTGGTTCACCTTCTTCTCCCCTCTCTGCACTGAAGTCCGTGGCCCACAGCTGCCCACCGCACCGTCCTCGGTGCAGACCCTGCCTCCAACGTGAGATCTGGCTCCCTGGTTTCTCAGAGCTGTGGAAGATGACCACCTCAGGACTATGTTAAAGTATAGACATGAAGGGAATGAATCAAGCAGGAATTCTCCTGGGCTCTGGTATCGCTGGTGTATGGGCAAGGGCTTCTGAATGCTTTATGGGTGAGCTCTATGAGGTGCTTCAGTCCTTGTTTTAAATCACAGCAGGTCTACAGGCACATCCAGCCTGAAGGTGGTGGAAGAAGTCAGTGCTTTTCTATATGATACTAGTGATCACTCCATCTGTGAAGCTGGCCTCCTGTGCTTCACATGGGTCATGTGAGGTTCGTTTAATGGATAGCTCTTTTCTAAAGGACATGGAAATGAGAAGTCCTTCCTCAAATTCTGGAAGATTAGAAATAGGGTTACACAAGACTATTGTGGCAATATTCAGTTTTCCGCTCTGTGTTCGTTTAATGGATAGCTCTTTTCTAAAGGACATGGAAATGAGAAGTCCTTCCTCAAATTCTGGAAGATTAGAAATAGGGTTACACAAGACTATCTCGTAGCATGGCAATATTCAGTTTTCCTCTCTGTGTTACAGTCTACCCTGCCTCCCTGCTCTACTCAGCAACTGTTGAAGGACATCTCATTTCTATTAGTGGACACATTTCAGTGGTAGTGCTGTGCTAGATGGGACATGGGGACATAGCACCCTGATTGTTCTTGGCCTTCTGCAATATTCAGTAGCGTTCAGACTTTGGGCCTCTTTAAATGCATGTTCATTGTTTTACTAGTCTACTTGCTTGTGTATACAGGAGAGGAGTTCGCAGAGTGGCTGTACTACGCCTTGTCTTGTGATTCCAAACCAAGGTAGCCCGAGGTATCCAATTTAATACCTCTTTGCTTAAATGGTAACGATATTGTCATAGGATTTCTTGTGCTGTATGTCATGTCAGTAATTGCATCCCTTGTGGGGAGTTTCTGTACATGTCAGTAATTGGCTTCTCCCATTTCAAGAGAGAAATAAGGCATGCATATTCCTCACACTTGTGATTATAGCACTTGGTGCTCCTTGTACTCCTGTGCTTATATTGCTAAGCAAAGGATCAAATATGACTTTTTAAACAGAACGGTATTCTGTCGCATCCCTGCCCAAATGAAGTATCTTCTGGCATCAAAGATAAACTCTAAAATAATTGTTGGCTTATATATTCTGTCTTTGGTGTGGTGTGCTCATCCACTTCATCTCTTTGAGCCAGGTCTTCTGGTGCTGTAAACTGCTGTTGCTCTAATATAAGCCAAGGGAGCCACGCTGGTCCGTACCCACTGATATCTGTCCCTTAGTGTCAAAAGTCAACATATGTATTAAGTCCCTGTCAAACGTAAAGAAAACAGATGGCTTTTGTGTTGGAAATAGCCTCACATCTCATTTCTTTCCTTGGTTTTTGTTTGTTTGTTCATTTTCCCCTGTCTGTCTGTGTTCAGCTCCTTCCTTTTCCTCCTCCTGGTGCATGGACCCATGGCCCACACGGCAGAACTGCGTAAGAAGCATTTTGAGTTTTCCGCTCAAGATACCTCAACTTGGTTTCAGTCAGATTGATTAACCCTTCTTTTCCCCCGCCACCCTCACGTTTGGTGCATTATGCAAGAGTAAAGTTTGCCTGGCGTAGAATTAGGTTATGAACTGGGCTGCCATTAAGAAGCTATTCCAAAACTGAGTTGCTCCCCTGACTTTTGAGGGATCAAGAAGCTCCAGAGTTTACTCTCTAGAAAATTTATAATTTGATGCCTCAAATAAAATTGACTTCCAGGTTCCAAACTGGCTCTGCCCTCCTTCCTCTGCCTACAGAGCTGTATATCAACCCAGGTATTTCTAGAATGGGAACGAGGAGTTGCAAATGTAACGTGTGTAAAGATGTTAGTGCCAAACAACATGCCCAGTAGCTTTAGCCGCTAATTTGGCAGGAGTGTCCTCTGCTGTTACTGGCTTGGAGCCCTGCTAATAAAAAACATCTAATGATACAGGTGTGAATTGCCGTAGCGTTGAGACAATTTGGTAATGTTTGGTGAGTTATGACCGAATTCAGCCTTGATGTAATTCCACTAAAACAGTTAACACTACATCTGTTTGTCCGGATTTTAGGGCAAGTGGCTTATTTTCGTGGACATGAGAATTACACACTTACATTTGCATCGAGGAGAGGAAACTGCTGCAAAGACTGGAAAAAATCCCATTGACATATGCTAGACAGAAAACTTGATCTTCCCCCAAAATAATAATTTCTCAGTACAAATAAGAAGTTAATTGATTTGGAAGAAAGCCAGTTAAAGAAATTCTTTGCAGTGGGTAAATTTACTGTGCATAATGTGCCAGGTTTTATCTGTATAACCAGAAATGGATAATTTCAAACTCTGCTAATACTGCTCTGAATTTTGCATCTGAATTAACACTTCAGTGCCACTGCCTGTCTGTGAGTAATTTGGAGTGTTAGTTGGGAGAGAGGCTGTTGCTTTGTCCCATGGAGGGGCGACAAGCGGAGCCCTCCTCGCCTGCTGCCTCCAACTGACTCCAGGTCCTTTTCCGGGGGCGGGGGACATTTTCTGATCCCGGTAGAGTTGACCAGATCGTTGGGAGAGGATCCTCCATGACCGACAAGGATCGGACCAAAGGGCCAGCGGAGGGGGAGCTGCCTGAAGACCCCAGCATGATGGGCAGGCTTGGAAAAGTTGAAAAACAGGTATATTGGGTCAGGAGGGAGTTCTTATCGGAGGGTGTTGCATGCATTGTGTTGCTTTTTTCTTGCCTTGTTTTTCCCCAGTGAGACATTACCATTTAAAAAAAAAAAGTAAGAGCTAGGAATATTTTGAAAAAGAAACAAGGTAGGTGTTATGAAAAGGCACTAAATGTCTTAGAAGCCTAAGTACTCCTTTCAAAACAGACACTTTGGAGTCTGTGACATACAGATTTTCTCCTCTGGTGCGTTTCCCAAAAGTCTACGTTATTTTTGAAAATGGCACATTGGTTTCTTTGCCACCATACTAGGCTTGTTTCAAATGAGTTCATGAGCCTGGCTGCTGTAGCTGCTGACCTACCGAAGATGAAAATCTTCCTAGAGGTTAAGGCTCAGAAATCCCCACGGCCGTCTGAGCCCAGGCAAGTGCCAAGTGCAGTAAAGAGCCAAAGGCCACTGGAAGGATGCGAGTGTGCTCCAGCTTTCTTGGAATTTGGTGCATGTCAAAAAGATTATAGGAGCTTAAGAAAAACCCCATTAAAAGGTGGAAAATTAAGGTTTTGTTTGAGAATAGGACAATTAAATATTTACTAAAAGTTTCAGTTTGGTGTAGGTCAGTGTGGGCAGAGGTCATCTATGAAGCCCAGGTCCACACTCGAGCCTAGGTGGGTTGGAAGTTGCTTGTACTCAGGATGTTAATTTGCTTCAACCTGCAGGCAGCGCGTAGCACTGTAACTGTGGTGTTTTGCAGGTTCAGTCAATGGAGAAGAAGCTGGACTTCCTGGTGAACATTTACATGCAGCGGATGGGCATCCCACCAACGGAGACGGAGGCTTATTTTGGGTCCAAGGAACCAGACCCAGCACCTCCCTACCACAGCCCCGAAGACAGCAGGGAGCACATTGACAAGAACGGCTGCATCATCAAGATCATCAGGTCCACCAGCTCCATGGGTCAGAAGAACTTCTCTGCCCCACCAGCCCCGACAAACACATGCCCGCCCTCGACGTCATGCCAGCAGCAGGTCTACCAGCGGCAAAGCCACGGCTCCTCGCCCGTTGGAGACCCCGGCTCGCTGGTCCGCATCCCACCTCCGCCCTCCCACGAGCGCTCCTTGTCAGCGTACAGCGGTGGGCACAGGGCGAGCGCAGAGTACCTGAGGAACGAAGACATTACAACCAAACACCACGAGAGTGCCATGAGAGACAGCGACACGTCCATCTCCATCCCCTCGGTAGACCACGAGGAACTGGAGCGCTCTTTCAGCGGCTTTAGCATCTCCCAGTCCAAAGAGAATTTGGACATTCTTAACAACGGTTGCTATGCAGCCGTGGCCAAAATCAGACCCTACATTGCAGAAGGGGAATCAGACACCGATTCTGACCTCTGCACGCCCTGCGGTCCTCCTCCCAGGTCGGCCACGGGCGAGGGACCCTTCAGTGACATGGGCTGGTCAGCCCCCAGGCAGTGAAGCCTTCTCGCAGCCGCCGAGCCACGTCCAAGCGCTGGCAGTTGCCCGCTCCAGCTGTCCACGCGTCGAACTTCTCAAGGAGATTGACAGCTAAGGTTTTCCTCCTTCTAGGACATCCTTAGCTGGTGGATACTTTCTTGCAGCTTACTCTGGGGGGGGGAATGAGCAGGTCTGAGCCTGCATTTGTGGAAGAGGTCACAGTGGTGAGCGAACTGGAGCCATGAGGTCCAGATTTCTTTCATACTCTCTTTCTAAGATCATTAGGTGAAATTATTTCATGGTGCAGGGTAGGCAATTTGCATTTCTTGGGAATCTTCGGAAGTGCAGGGCAGGAATAAATCCCTTGGCCAGGGTAACTGGTGGCTGACAAGTGTTACGTGGGAATTGCCACGCCGTGGCACTGGTGGTTGCACCTTTAGGTGTTTTGGAGTCACGAATGAACACGTGTCTGTTTCTGACTTAGATTTCAGGTCACGTGTAATTACGGGGGGTTGTTACTCTGTGGTTCCTCATTAACTGTCAGGAAGGTGGCGTAATTCCAATATAATACATGGAAATGTTGCGTAGGCCCCTGGAGGAGAGGGATGGTGGCTGGAATATTTGCATGAACAGAAGACATGGCCTCAAAGTGGGACAGGTTAGGATACCACTCTGAACCAGAACGGTTTGGAAATTATCCCATCTTAGGAAATTGAAAAACTCAGAAATAAGAGATTGAGTGCAAGAAGGGAGACAACCCAGAGGGAGGAGAAATGAGACAGAGAAGGAGGACAAGAGACTGCGGGGCTGGAATTTTATGTTTTAAACCATGTATTATATTTAATTATCTCTCCTCCCATTGACAACGGACCTGGAGATGCTTTGGAAGCAAATGCAAACCAAAGGCAACCCCTCTGGAGGGCTGCCACGCTGTGCAGCCATTCTTGTGGCCAACAGTTGTGGAGTCACAGCCACCAGGCCAAAGGGAGAGGGTGGATTTGCAAGATGCTGTGGTCCCCGCGTTGCTGCGAGTTAAGTGCTGAGCTCCATCCTTTTGAAGCCCTGTTGGTCAGAGCGGGCACTTTTCTTACAGTTTGCATTGTGCCTGAACACTTTTGCACACACTATGCCCTGTGAAAATCTTCCCTTTCTTCTTCTGCCCTGCCAAGAATGTCACGCCCATGTTCTTGGGACATCCTTCGGTTTTGTTTGGATCCCTCAAGATGAGTTAAGAGGTGCTTCTTTGTGGTCTTTCAGAAGCCTCTTACCTGTGCTTGCCTGCGAGTTGTGCCAGTCCAAGTCTGCCCCGTTTCGTTGTTGTTAAAGTACTTTCTCTTGGAAAGATCATTGTGTCGTTACCGGGAACCTCAGCAGCGCATTGAGCTGGGGGAAGGCGAGGGGAGAAGTGATGCTCAAAGTTTCTTTTGGGACCAAAACGAAGTCACAAAGTGATCCTTTACATGGATAGGTTGGCTGGGTTTTTTTGCAAGGGGGTGGATCAGGAAAAGTGTGTTTGGGATCCGTCTCCAGGGCTGGGACACCATGGCCGGCGTTGTGCCTCTGAACCCTCCCATGCATCTACAGCCCAAATCCCCTGCGAGTTTTCTGCTGGGGCTGTGTCTGTGATTGCAAACCCTGTCTCTCCACATTTTCCCTGTGTCGTATCAAGAGCCCGTTAAGGATATTTATGTAACAACTTCATTTCTGTGTGGCCTTTGAGAGGTTGAACATTGACTTGCTTGGGGTGAAGGGAGAATCACAGCCTTTTTCTCTCCTCCTGTTTGACCAGAGGCAGCAACCAGGGGAGACCCAGGACTATTTTGGCCTTAGGGAAGATGTGGGTGCAGTCTGGCAGCTTGCAGACAGGAAATAAACCCATCCTTTTGCTAGCGCTCAGGACCAACACGCAGGTCTTCACATGGGATTGAGGAGTGGGGAAAGGCTCTGCACAATTTTTCCTGCCGTTTTTCACTGTTCAGGAGGGGAAAACATTTTTCTTAGAGGCAACCTGGGCTTCCAGCCATGCTAGTTCCTTTCTTTCCCATTTGATCCTTTTTTTGTTACCTTCTGCAATTTTTCCCTTTCTGCTTGTGCTCCCAAACTCCTTTTGGCTCCAGATTTCTTTGTGCAAAGTGAACCCAGTGATGCCCTTGACTTCCATATAGAGAAACCTTTGAGTGCAAAATGGCTGCAAATTGTGCAGATTTGCCCCTGGGGTGCTGCAAAATAAGATGCCTTCTGGTTGAGCAAGAAATGCCAGCAGGTCCCAAATCAGACTTGGTGGCATGTATTTTCTAGTGACCACAAGAATGGAAATTGCACTGGGTGAGGCAAAAGTCAACATTGCTCCCGCCAGCTGCTCACTGCAAATTTTGTCCAAGTCAGAGATAACAAAGATTTATTGTCGTATTTGTTTGCAATTACTTTTTGAGGCCTGCTGGAAATTTGGCATGGAAGGATATGATGTAAAGGCAGGAACTCCAGATGAGGATGATGTCATATGGTCCTGTTGCAGCACGGGTACGTGACTGGTCCTTGATATAGGAGGCAATGTCAACAGGACTTCAAGGCACAATTTTTGCAGGATGTAATTTTCATCATGTCCTAATTTCGAAGCCCTGTTGGCTCTATTTTGAATGTCCATTTCCTAGTTTTTATTGCAAAATCCCTTTCTCCTGCCCAGATGATGCTACACCCTTGAAAGCAGATACTGCCAGTGTGTCCCGAGGAGACGCAGTTCCACTGGGTCCTCTGAGTTTTCCACAGACCGACATCTGGCAGTCTTTTACTTCCTTTAGGGACTGCATAGGAAGAATTGTGTTTTCCCTCTTCAAGTAAGTTACTACACCAGGGTTTATAAAGATCTTTTGACTTGTAGCTTTAAAAGGTGTTGGATTTGTCCCACAGTCACTGATAACAGAAAACAGGTTTTATATATATGCAGCACAGATTATATCTTGCTGCCACAAATTTCACATTATAATTTTTCTGGAAGGTGTAAGAAATATTCCACCTTTATCTGTGGCATCATTTCTAAGAAATTCTGACACACACCTCCATCCACAACCATGCCATAAATTGTCACTTCTCATTCATCCAGGCAAAAAGGCTTGACATGGATTTTTGTGTTAACTTACACCAGAAATAACTCCAAATAATGCTCCTTATTTCCATGGAATGATTTATGCCTGCATAAACGAGATCAGAACCTGCTCGTTGCTTATTGACATAATTAATTTCATTCCTGTCCTAAATCGTAGTCCAATACTTCCTGCAAAGTCTTCACTTTCAGTCCCTCAATTCCCTCATGCCTGTATCACACACTCCTGGTGGTAATCTCCCACAAGAAGTCTTAACCACTAGATTGAAAGAAAATAAATCGGTTTGCTTTTGCTAATAAGGCAGTCCCAATGATAAAGACCTTTAAAAGGATGGACAGGCAAACTTTGTCCCTCTGCTGAGCCTCTCTCGGGCTGGTCTTTGCTCCCCTGTTCCTCCCAAGTCTGGTTCTGTATTTTTTGGAGGACAGAAACAGGTTTTAGACAATGTCAAGTGTGTACAGAGGAGACCAAGGAGAGCTGAAGAAGATGTGAAAGCCAAATTTCCAGCAGGCCATCTTTAACCGCTCCGGGGTGCCCATGCCCACGCGCGGTTGTGTGCACAGAGCCCGGTTTCCAGGTGCGTCTGTGCTGAATGTGAAGCCGTGGCCTTGGACCAGAGCCTGGGATCTGGTCTCCGAGAAAATTTTGGACTTTTTTTTTCAGAATCTGGGTCTAGATCTGGAGAGAAATACTGCAAATGGCCCCACCTGCGGGATAGAGCAATGCCTGAGACTGAAGCCACAATCAGGTTTTGGGTGCTTCAAGTCCAAGCGTGAGTTCAAGCTGTCTCACGAGTTCATGTCTCCGGACAGGAGACGTGGCTGGAGATGTTGCAATCTCTGTGCAGGTGGCCTTTCATAACGTGACCCCGAGACATAGGAACAGAGCACTAGCCATAAATCGAATTTCCCAACATTTGGGAAGGGACTTTAATGTTACTCAAGTGCAGATTTTGTATGTGAATTTCCTTGTTGACTCATTTTCTTATTAATAATTTTTAAAACAGAAATGTCAAGGAACTCACTGAAAACAAACCTCTTGTCCAGCTCAGAAAGCCCTTATATTTCTTTAGACAGACTATGTGATAGATCAGGTTTTCTAAAATGTATTTTGTTTCAAATGCTGCTTAATAGATCCAAATAAATCCTGCAGGGTCATTGCTATTTACAGGTAAATAGGTGTATTTTTACACTTTTAATTGATTTTTTAAATTTTAAATTATGTGAATTTTTAGAACAAGTTTGTATAATCTACCTGAGAAGCCAGAGCATCACCTCAGATAGAAATGCTCCCCTTCCTAACAGTTACCCAAGAGAAAAAAAACCACGTTTACTTGTGTTTTTCTCAAGAGGGAGCTACTGCAAATCTCATTTCCCTTATATCCTCAGACCACTATGGTCACAGCAACATTATTGCTAAAAACAAAATGAAAGTATTCCAAGAAAAACTGAAATTCCTAAGGAATTTGCCCAAGAGTTATCCCATATAAAGACCCTTAGCAGTGAGTATTTTATTGGGAATGTTAAAAAGCCCAGGAGCAGGCTAAGGATTTCTGTTTCTCCATCCGTGCTCGTGTGAACCCTCAGGTTGAGCAAGCCCTGAGCCTCCATCCCTTTCTTCCCAGCACGCCGGCGGTCCTCCGACCCACGCCCCCGCGCCTGCATCCTCTCTCACCCGCTCTCCATCATAGGTCAGCATCTTCTGTCTTCATCAGCTTCCTTTTCGTGAACCAGAAACAAGGAAATCGGATACAAAAGCTCCTTCACCTGCAAGTAACATTGAGGCTGCGACGTGGAGGGCCGCGGCAGGGGGGTGAGGGCGGCAGCCCCCTCCCAGCCCCGCGTGGGTCACTGCTGCTCAGCGGTGTGAAAGCAAACTCTTGCTTTTAGCACACAAACACCCCGACTTTTCTGCGTCACA